CATTCATGACAGCAAACCAAAAGACACAAACACAAACCAATGAGAACAAATGATCAATTATCCTTTCTGAACTCATGGCATGTAAAAGGGGCAGGCGGCAGGCCAGCTACAACCTCTGTTGTCTACTATAAGTCAGCGTTATATTTTAAATACATGTATGCAAAAGCTATAACCCCCGAAGTTTAAAAATTATGGTATATATGCACAACTAGAGAACAAATGTATGCCTGCAAGCAGCTCATTCTCCGTCTCCTCGTTGACACTGCTAGCAGCTCTGTTATAGTTCCATCTATCCTCTGTTGAATATCACCATGCGCGTTACCTGAACTGAATGTTCAGTTACCGTTCATTCTTTCAGAGTAGTTTTCAGACTTCGTACAATAGAGGTCTAGCGTTTGATTCAGAGTTGTAAGTCTGACGCCATTTTGTTCATGCGAAGGCACGTCTGTTTGTGAGTTTGTCCGAGTCATGCGCGGCTCAAACGTGGGATGGCACGATCGTGATTCGTGAAGCGTTCGAACTAGTGAAGTAAACAAAGAAAAGGCTGTCGGTATTTTTACAGCACCAAACATCGAGTCTCATCTCTGTTCTTGAGTGCGCTAGTGAGACCATCATCCTGGTAGTGGTTCTTTTTTTTTCAAATGGAGGTTCAACTTGTACTCGTGGATGTCCGCGCGGCAGTAGACCGTCGCCGCCTCCATGCCGGCACCATCGTCGGCCTCTACCTCGCCGGGCGTGGGTTTCTGGGCCACGTCCGCCTCCGCCTCCCCAGTGCGCCGGTGCCGTGGCGGTCCGTCCGCCCTCCGGTTGCTACAGTGTGACTCTGGGCTCCCGCGAGCAGTGGATGGACTTCTTTTGGGCATAGAGGGGGTCGGCTCGGTCCAAATCGAAAACGAAATTAATTATAATAATTAATTATTATTATCTCGGTGCTTTAAGATCTGTATAACTTTTTTGAAGCGGGCTACCAGAGCAAAACTCATAATAACTAATTCTATATTGCAAATTCCGGAGAGAAAAAAAAAAGGCTTGGGAGACAAATGGTCAAATTTGATGAAAATGATCTTAAACCCAAGCACAACATCTATCATCATTTTAAAATGGAGTCCTCGCAAAAGTCATTCATTCACTATAGAAAAGGAGACACACCAGGTGATCCTCTCTCACCTTTACTTTTTTGTATTGGCAGCTAACTGTTTACATAGTATCTTGAAAAAAAAAGAAATGACTTAAACCATAGTCACAGAAAAAAAGGATAAAAAATATCAACCCTTGACCCTGGAACGTCGTTCCTGACCCAGGTTCAAGAGGTCATTTTTAGCCCTGCCGTGTAAAAACCTATTGCAAGTACCAAGACCACGTTCTTCGACTCCGTTCCTCAACCTCATCAGCAAGGGAACTTTGTTACTATAAACTAAACTTGATGCCTAAAAGCATTCCTTGACACTTTTTGTGGACTCCTCATGCCTTAAAGTTGTTTTTCTCAAAATCAATTATGGTAATAAACATAGACCGAGGGTAAAATGAAGATTCTTGCTCATACTGTTGGCTGTGTAGTTGGATCACTGTCATTCACTTATTTTGGGTTACCTCTACAATTTTTTTTGTGATTGTGTTACCCTATGCGGGTTTGTTGAAAAGTTTTTTGATTAAAAAATGTGTATGAAACCAACTCCCGTGCAGTGTGCGAACTGCGAACTAAGCATAGGTTGCTAGTTGGTTTTCTTATGGTGGACTGTGAACTAAGCGTAGCTTGCTAGTTGGTTTTCTTATGGTGCAACTTGTCCTCTCAGATTTAAGTCCTTAATTAACTTAGCGCGGGTGATCATATTTCCCCAGAACTGGTTCATATTTTTGTCGGAGGTGCTCCAAGATATAGGTGGTTTTGCACGTGCATTTATATAGGCGTGAGAGTGTCTACACATTAATGTGATTCTGGAAAAAACTCCCATGTAGCATTATGTATTTATCCAACATACACCTCATTATCCAGCAGACTGTGCAATCTTTTTCTCATTGCAGGGAACCTGACGGACCAGAGATGTTTTTTTTGGGCAATATCAGAGATGAATGGGCTAGTCTGAAAGTCCAGCGCAAGAGACGGCCCAATGAAGGAGGCTCCCGAGATCTACGGGCCCGGCCCAATAGTGACCACCACCGTTCCCCTTCCTCTCTCTTTTTTTAGAACGAAGGTTTTCCCTACTTTATATTTCAAAAGCAACAAAACATTCCAGGTTCAGCGTTTTGGCGGCGCGCCCGCCTTACAAGAAAGCCTCACGGCAAAACAGAGACAACTCCGACATCATCAGAAGCGACTTGATCATATCGAGGCTCCAAACTCGCAGCGCTGGGGACCAAAAGCGAAGCAGCCAATTGTCCCAACTCTGATGACGAACTCTCCTGGGCAGTCCACTCGATCTGCGGCGGCAACAACGCTTCTTTCTCCAGACGACTTGCTAAAACTTCCACTCGTTGTCCCACCTCCGACTTCAGCATCGGCACCCATCTTCTTGTCATCCTTACCACCATTATCAACACGAACTTCATCCCTGTCCATGGCACACCCTGAAAACAAATTGCATTCCTCAGTTTCCATAAGGACCAAATCACAGCTGAGGACACAATATTAGACAGTTCATGTTTTTTGTTGGCCAATCATAATCTGGCTACTGATTCAAAACTGTCCCCCAGGTTCGCCCCTAACAAGGCTGATATCGAACGCCAGACCATTCTGGCCACACAGCACTCAAAAAAAAGATGAGTGATAGATTCCAGTTCATTACACAACAAGCAGGTAGGATCGCTTACTTCCTGTCTTTTGGCTAAATTGTCTCTAGTCAAAACTCGGTTCTTAGAAACCAGCCACAAGAAAAATTGCACCCTGGGAGGCACACTTAGCTTCCAGACAGCACTAACATAAACCGGGGCGACACCTCTAAAGGAGATCACAGCATATAGAGACTGCACCTCATACTTACCAGAAGATGTATATGCCCAAACAATGTGATCCTCTTCTTCAGAGAAGGAGAGATCATCCATCAGGGCAACCAATTCCCACCAAAGATTCATCAAATTCTCTGAAATTGTTCTTCTAAAAGTCAGTTTCAGATTAACCCCATCCCACACATCACTAAGGGTTTTACCCTGTTGTTCATTGATCACATACAAAGGCCAGTACAGAATAAGCCAAACTGGCATTTCCCACCCAGGTATCCTCCCATAACCTTATTTTCTTACCATTTCCAACCAACCATTTAACACCCATATGGGCAGCCTGAGCAGCCCAGAGCACCCCTTTCCAAAAAGGGGAAGCTCCTACCTCTGAACAGCAGAATATGTTAGGATTTTTGGTCCTATATTTCGAATCCAAAATCTGAACCCAAATAGCATCATTGTTTAACTGGTATCTAAAGATCCAAGAACAAAGCAAGGCCAGGTTTAAACTTCTTAAGTCAGGAACCCCTAAACCTCCAAAATCATTTTTCTAGGCAACCAACTGCCAATTTGCCAAATGGTACCTATGTTTTTCTTCATTATTATTCCATAAGAAATGCCCCATCTGAGAGTTAATCATATCTATAGCCCACCTAGGGAACTTTATTATGGATAACAAGTAAATGGGGATGCTTGCAAGGCATGCTCTTAAAAGAGTTAGCCTCCTAGCATATGACAACAGTCTTCCTCGCCAACCAGCAATTCTTTTAATGATCTTATCAATTACTGGTTGCAAGTCTACTCTTCTGAATTTGGTAAAATGTAGAGGTACCCCAAGGTACTTAATGGGAAAGTCACTTAATTTGCAACACAAAACTTTAGCATACTCATTAGCATTCTCAGGGCTTAAGCCAATGGTGAGCAAATCACTTTTGTCATAATTAATTTTCATCCCTGACATCTTTTCAAAATAGACTAGTAACCATTTTAGTGTTTGTGCTTTTTCCATGTTATCTTCTAGGAACAGGAGTGTGTCATCTGCATATTGCAAACTGACCACACCCCCATCCATGACTTGGGGCAAAAGACCAGAGATCAAATTTTGGCTGGCAGCTTTCATAAGCATCTTAGAAAACACATCCGCAACTAAATTGAATAACAGGGGGACAAGGGGTCTCCCTGCCTCAGCCCTTTACCAGGTTTGAAAAATACACTGTTTTCATCATTAATTCTGATGCCTATAGAACCACCCTGAACTGTACTATGAATCCAGTTAATCCATTTGGGGCTAAAGCCCCTAGCTGTAAGCATATCTTTCAAAAAACTCCATCTAACCCTGTCATACGCTTTTTCATAATCTAATTTAAGAATTATCCCAGATTCCTTCTGCTTATGAAGCTCATGAATGATCTCATGCGCCGCTACGACACTCTCAAGAATGTATCTGCCTTTTATAAAGGCTGTTTGATTAGAAGCAATCAACCTATCTGCCACAGTAATCAATCTATTATTGAGTAACTTAGAGAAAATCTTGAAGCTACAATTTATCAAACTAATAGGTCTGAACTTTTTTAGATTTTTAGAATCAGGTTCTTTTGGAATTAGAGTGATCAAAGCATAATTGATTCTTTCCAAATTTAGATTGTTATTGTCAAACATGTTTACCAAATTCAACAAATCAGGAGCACCATCAGCATAAGATCCAAACACTGCCACCTTCACCTCCTCTTCTGTAAAAGGAGCTGTTAATAGCTCATTTTCCACAGAAGTGACTTTCTCATCCTCCTCCCAAAAATCAGCCCCCAGACTAACATCTGAGTCAGGCTCTCTCCCAAACAAGGACTTGTAAAAGTCCACAGCATGATTTAGCATCTTGTCATTCTCCTCCACCCAACCCTCAGGAGTTTCTAAACCTACAATCCTTTTTTTCCTATTTCTTTGATTAACCACAGCATGAAAATAAGCTGTGTTTCTATCTCCTTATTTAATACTTCTATCTCTTGACCTTTGTTTAGCTTTAATTTCTTCCATTCTCCAGATGGCATCAAGGTCATCAGAGATCTTCTTCATCCTGACTTTCTCCTCTGGCTGTAACCCTCTTTTTCTAGCTTCACATCTAGCATCTCAAACTCCTTAAGGAGCTCTTGTTTCATCTTCCTAATCTCCCCATTAACATTTAGAGCCCACCCTTTAACTTTCTTCCTAAACAATCTGACCTTAAATTGCCAGATGTCTAAAGGATCTGTGAAAGCACATGGTGTATTCCAGATTTTCACAACCAGCTCCTTAAAATCAGGTTGTTCCAGCCACCACTTTTCAAATCTGAAAACATTCTGTTTTTTCTGCTCCTGACAACCTAGATTCAAAATTAAAGGGACATGGTCACTTATAGCCCTAGCTTTAATAGACACAAAAGACAGTGGATATTTTTGCTCAAACATGGTGTTGCAGAACACTTTGTCCAAAGAAGCAAAAATAGGTTGCTCTTGGTTATTAGACCAAGTAAAAGATCTTGAAGAGTTTTTAAGTTCTATCAGCCCAAACTTATTGATCCAATCTTGAAACAGGTCAGCCCATTTCTGATTAATGTTTCCATTACTTCATTCTTTAGCACTGGTTATGAGATTAAAATCTCCTCCTAACACTGTAGGACCATCCCAGTTAGCTAGGATATCCTCTAGCTCATGCAGGAACTCTAACTTGCCCTCCTCATAGGGAGAACCATACACCACAACTAGTCTCCAAATCAACTTATCATGAGCATTCTTAATCATAACAGCAACAGAGTATTTACTATCTTTCCAGGCTAAGGCCTCAAACTTCCTATCATTCAATCCTACCAGGATACCACCAGCAGTACCAACTGCAGGGAGGCAGTGCTAGGAAAATCCTCTATGAACATAATTAAGAAAGGATTCTTGGAAACTTTCCTTTTTTGTCTCTTGAAAGCCCACAAAGTCTAACTGATTATCCTTAACAAAATCAGTTATGCATTGGAGACGGCCCTCTTTATTCAGGCCTCTAATGTTCCAGAAGGCACCTATCATTTTTATCTAAATTTGATTTAACAGCCTTGCCTTTAGAGGCAACCTGTACCCATGAAGGATCAGAACTTTCAGATTTTTCCTTAACAGGAGTGTGGTCAGTATTATTCAAAGGAGGAAACTCCTTTTCTACAAAAACAGATTCTAGGGTATCAAGGAGGTTAACCTCTGGATTAGTTTCCTCAAACCTTTTCTTATCTTCTAACTCTTTGGCTTTCAGACTATCAATAGTCTCATTAATAGTTAAGGAATCAGTACCTAGAGAAATGTTAACACACTTAACCTTATTAAGTAAGGCAGCATTATCTTCAGAAGCAAAAGAATGCTTTAGATAAGTACCTTTTTCCAGATTTTTAGCTTTCTTGAGATCCTGGGCTTTTTCCACCACAGTTCTTCCATCCTCAGGGACCCTCCTTGGTTGAGGAGCCCTTAAGATAGTCCCCCAGCCAGTCTTCCTCTTCTGGTTCTTCTTGGCACCCCCTTTGCCACTGCATTTGTCTTCCAGCTCTTCTATGTGCTTAGGTAGGATCCCAGATTCTTCCAGAGAGAACACCTCTTCTTCTTCTTTAGCCACTATCTCTTCCTCATCTTCTGAAGCCTCCAGTTCCATCCTTTTCAACAGCTTGGAACACTCCTTAGTTGCTAAATCTCTCTGTGCTAACTTCCTGAACTCAACCTATTTTGAGTGGTTAGACTCCTCCTCAATCAGATTGTAAAACTAGTTTGCACCGATGGGACAATCAGAAAGCACAAATTTAATTTGCTCAGGTGTTTTCCCCAGATCAGCATTCCTTGTCCTAGCCACACTCTTTCTCAGCAGTTTCACCACCAGAACCAATCTCAGTCGTCTTACCACAGCTTCTATGTGGGGAATAGAGCTCAGGCTCCTGCCAGCTGCTATTATCCTTCCTGGTTGATACATCAGGGTTCAGCAAGACATCAATGTCTTTCTGTCCACCTGCAACCATCTCCATCCCGGCTGTTAATAGCTTAGGATTGTTACTCTCCATCAGCGCCTTCAACTGTTGATCCTGATCCATTGCCACATCCCCACTGACTGTCCTACTCCCCTTACTACTGCTTGACTTCTGTGATGAGGTCTTCTGGTTGGGGTTGCTGTTGGTTGGGTTGTCAGGATTGAGCCCCTTTTCAGTATTTGTATCATATAAGTCATCAGCTTCCTCATCCATACCCCCCTTTCCATCATCCCCTCCATCATTACGATCATCATTGCCCCCATCATTTCTAGACCCTTTCCCCTCATTCTGTTCCATTTCCACAGTAAACCCTACAATGTGCGGCTTCTTACTAAATTCAAATAATCTCTCCTTCGGGATCTTGGAGTAGTCTCTCACAGCCACCTTCACTCTAACAGTTTCATAGAAAGTCTTAAACAGTGTTGACTAGTCCATTTCCACCAGGAGACCAAAGCCAGATGCATTTTGTGCAAACACTCTCCAATGGCACCATTTGGGTGGTATACCATTCATCAGTACCCACACTTCTTGTAGCTCCCCATAAGGCTTCATATCCCCAAGCCACTCCAGCACCTCTACTTGGACACCATCCTTCCTGAGGTTAAATGATGGATAATTCTTGATGTCTGCAACTCTTTTGTGAGGTGGGAATCTCACTAGAAAGTTTCCTTTCTCCAACTCCCTAATCTGCCATGGCCATTCTTTGCAGTAGATTTTAGACAGCTCAAGCTCAAGCTCAAGCTCAGCTAGACTAATCTCACCAGCCTTAACTCGGACCACTCCACAATTTGTCAAATTAAGCCACTGAGTAGACTCAACATCAGGAACCTCTAGATGATAGAAGCCAAGACCCAAACTAGAGCTCCCCACATAAGCAGCAATAGGATGGTGTCTCTTCCAAGCTGGACATGCATTCATATGATGACCAGCAATTCCACAGATAAAGCAGATCTTAGGTTTTGTGCAATTCCCCACAAAGTGACCGGGCTCTCCACAATTGTAGCAGGTCATCTTCCTATACCTAGGATCGATGAAGAATGGGGCAATCTCAGGATTCTCAGTACCTTGTCCACCATCCTGTTGAGCTCCACGCCTGGGAGGAGGATGGGTTTGTTGCCTGGCCATCTCCTGTTGACGCTACGGCTGACGAGGCGGTTGTTGTTGCCGAGGTGGTGGTGGACGCGGAGGCGGAGCAGGGTTTGTCTGAGTCTGCCGCGGTGGAGCATCCCTCTGCTGTCGCTGCCCTTGGTCCTGCCATCCCTGGCGCTGGGGTTACGAAGGAGGGTACCTTGGCTGATTCTGTTGGATGGATCTCTGATTGCGCGGTGGAGGCGGGTGATTTGGTTCTAGATGCCAAACCTAGTGGCCGCCTTCCGCCATGTCTCGCTTAAACACCTCCTTGTACGACTCCTTCGCCTCCCGATGACTCCACACCTCCCCGAAACTGATCCTCACAGCTGGCTTGTCAATCCGATCAGATCTCCGCACCGGGAAGCAATCAGCTGATGAGAAACTCCTCTGCTCAACCAGCTCCCTTCGGATCCAGAAGAGTTGGGTGGATTGGGCGCTGCTTGAGGAGCATGAGGTGGATGAAACCCTAGCCGCAATCTATGGCAGAGGGGAGTCGATAGCCCAAAGCTGGCCAAAAAACTCGAGGATGACCTCGTCCTCCTCAACCATCAAACGCCCCGGTTGTGTCCTATCCTCACGGACGGCCTCGCCCTCTTCGCTGACTGGTGGGGGCACACACCCGCTCCCTTCTGGCGTGTGGAACCCGCCGCAGGCGGGAGCCTCGTGGTCAGCCAGGGTGGGTGCCCCTTCCTTCTTCTTCTTTCTCCTCCCTTATCAGTTATACCTGTTCACGTTATTCCTCTCCTGGATTATTCCGAACTTTTCTGCCTGCCCAAGGATTTGTGGCAGAACCACCTGAATTATGTGGCCCACATGTGCCTATCTTTGTCATTCAGACCTTAGATAGTAGCACATGCAAGTCAAACAACTTTGGTAGTCTGTCGGGTCTCCCCATGGAACCCCGAATCATCCACATTTTTCTCTCCAGCAGAATACCTCACAGTATCATTGCAGTATTACAACAGATATACAGATGTACAAAATATATTACATCGGAGTAAGTGGCGGAAGTATTAGAATACCATAGTTTTACAAACCAGTATTAAGTTGATGCAAACCTTACTTATTACAAACCATAAGTTTTGCCATAAAGGCAGTGGGTAGCAAAAGCGGTATCACTTATATTACATCATCAAAAGTTTTCACCTGCCCAAGGGTGCACCAAACGAACTCACTGCTGGGACTCCTCCTCCTGAACCACCACATAGTAGTGGCCACAGCCTAGCTGCTCCTGGGGTTCACCTGCAACATGGGTTTAACAACCCTGAGTACAAAGGTACTTGTCGATGCGGGACCCACAGGGCTCCCCAGCAAAGCAACTACGGACCGTGGGCCCTGGCTTGGCCCACGGACAGAAACGAGAAGAGGTGCAGCATCTGCTACACCGAATCCGAGTAGAATAGGCCAGACTATGCGGATTCCTATAGAAAGTACCTTCTGTATGTAGTTCAGAACACCTTCCGTGGATCCGACTAGGATTGTAATCGCACCACGGCCCTCTCTATTTATAAAGAGGGGCCGTGGGCACCCAAAAAACACAACAACGATTGTAGCGTAATATTCCAATCAATCCAACGCAAAAGCACTGGACGTAGGGCTGTTACTCGATCACGGTCGAGGGCCCGAACCAGGATAAATCGACTATCTCTTACGTTAACCGCCGAGTTCTGTATACGCCGAAGCCCGAACAATTGCTTCGGGTACCCCCATGGCAGGCTATCGGTGGTCAAACATCGACAGCTGGCGCGCCAGGTAGGAGCTTTCGGCAGAATTGCATCTGAGAGCTCGACGGACCTTGACAAGATGATCTTCTCAAGGGGGTCAACCTTCATCTTCGGATCATGGGTCTGCAAGGCGGACGACAATGGCAAGCTCCAAAGTCGACTTCGCTCGACGGACCTCGACGAGATGATCTTCTCAAGGGGATCAACCTTCATCTTCGGATCATAGGTCTGCAAGGCGGACGACGACGGCAAGCTCCAAAGTCGACTTCTCGAAGATTCAGGTCACCATGAAGATTACAATATTTCGACGACTACAGTGAACCAACTCGCGGGAAGACTCGAGCGACTTGTGATGTCTGATCCGACTCGGACTTCGTGGCCGACCGCATCCGACTCAAATTTAGGTTCCGCATCCGAGATGGGGTCTTACCCGAGTTCTTTCGATGACAATCCGAGTTCTTTTCCGTTAGGACTCCGCAACATGGCTTTAGCCTATCAAGAATTCAACTCGGAATACGTCCGAAGTTCTTTCAAGAAGTCGGGGCCTTTCCCGAGTGGACTCCACGGCATGGCAACAACCCATCAGACATAGCTTGGAGAACCCACCAGTCTAGTACGAACAGTACCATTGAGAGGAGCTCAGGAAGGTTTGATACTGACTATAACATCTCGGGACTGTATCATCCACTGGACGGGCTCTATCCCTGAAGATGAAAGTACCCGACTTATCGACACAATAACTTCAACAACTCTACCTTACCAAGAAGGAGATTCGATCTGCGGCACTGAAGCCTCCACTGAAGAGCTCAACGACTCGGATAATGAGGAAATTAACGTCAACAACGGACCACCTCGTACTCGAGAAATATTGATGGTTCGCCGTCCCCGATCACCGTTGGATCCTCTAGAAGCGCCTGACATCAGATCCTCAGACGAATCCGAATCAAACATATCGCCTTTCACCTAGGGGCATGAAGGTGAAACAGAGAGCCAGAAGCAAGCCAGGGAAAGGAGGAATAAATTAAAACAGGGACGCCAATGCTGTGCCAGACAGCGCAAAGAAGCTTGGATCAGATATGAGTCAGATCTGGCCGAGTACAATAAGAAGAAATCTCAGCTAGAGGCAGGGGAAAAACGCGCGGCAAATGCACCTTTCAACAGGATCCGAGAAGCGCTAGAAGAACTTGAAGCAATCTCACACCCCGACGAAGAACAAGAACAGCTCCGGGACATCTTTCGATCAACAGCCCTAAAAATGCACGACGGAAGAACCCGCTCAAAATTACCCGCCAGAACAACATCCTGCAGACAGGAAAGCTTGGGTCAGAGGAAGTCCGCTTTCGAGAGACTAGGACCGAGCGGAAGCCACAATGGAGAAGGCGGAAGACTCCGCAATCAAAGCAATAGAGTCGAACAATCTAAGGAAATCAGGAGCAGAATACCCATCCAAACAGTCCCACAGAACTACTCTCGCCAGAATGATAGCTGGCTGGAAGGAGGGGCTAAGTCAGAATACAGAGAAGCCGGAACGCACGACAGGTTCCCCTGTTTTTCAAGCCGACTTGCTTCAGTACGGCTACCACACAAGTTTAAACCATCAAACCACTCCAAGTACGACGGGAAGACCGAACCAAGGCAGTGGCTCAGGATCTACTCTCAATCAGTCGAACTAGCCGAAGGAGACGACGACATCAAAGCATTATTCTTTCCCATGGCCCTAGAAACTGTGCCCCTCCAATGATTCGATAAATTGAACCCGGGGTCGATCAGAGGTTGGGAAGACTTGCAAAGAGCTTTCTGCGAAAACTTCGTAGGTATCATCACACACCCTATCACTCACGCAGAACTGAAAGGACTCAAGCAGAAAGGGGGAGAAAGTCTTAGAGACTACTACCGACGATTTGGCGAGCTACGTGCTCAAGTACACGACATCATAGAACGAGAAGTAATCGAAGCTTTTCCAATGGAATCATCACCAGATGGCAGTTTCAAGACTTTTGCAAAGAAAATCCAAGGAATAACGAAGAATTCAGACGCACGGTAGAAAGGATGATCACAGCAGAAGAGAAAACAAGAGAAAGATTCCCGGACAGGAACAACCGGGACAGCCAAGACAGACAAAATCACCAAAGCAGTAGGCATCAGGAAAGAAAGCGTGGGCCCAACAACACCATAGCAATGGTAGATAAGTCAAAGAAATTTTTTAAACCCTGAAAGTATGAAGACATCGAAAATATGCATTGCGTTTGGCACCCCAAATCAAATCACACAACCGAAGAATGCTATTTCTTCATTGATCACTATACGAGGAAAGATAAGAAGGAGGACAAGAAAGAAGACAACCACAAAAAAGACGAAGACAGCAACGAAGATAAGGGATTCTAGAAGTCTAAGGGGACGGTAGCAGTGATCTTCGCCGGGGTCCCGAGTTCTAGGAGCAAGCACCAGGACAAACTGGCCCTACGAACCATTATGGCAGCAGAACCGGCTACTCCCAGATACCTTAATTGGTCGCAGTATCCAATCCAGTTCTCAAGGGAAGACCAATGGACCAGCGTAGGGAACGCAGGTCACTACCCACTAGTTTTGGATCCAATAATTGCGGGAATGACCGTCACAAAAGTGCTAATCGATGGGGGAGCTGGGCTCAACATCATCTTTTCAGAAAGGCTAAGGAAGATGGGGCTACAACTCGCCGGGATGATTACCCCAACAAGTGTCTCTTTTTATGGTATAGTACCCGACAAAGCAGCCATGCCTCTTGGACAAATCACTTTACCGGTTACTTTTGGAACTCCCTCGAACTACCATACAGAATTCATCAAATTTGAGGTTGCAGACTTTGAATCATCATACCACGCCATCCTCGGGCGACCAGCATTAGCAAAATTCATGGCGATTCCACACTACCCATACCTCTTACTTAAAATGCCGGGACCCAGCGGTATTCTTTCTCTCCAAGGTGATCTCAAGCGTGCCTTTGACTGCGATGTTCAGGCAATCCAAATTGCAGCCAAGGCACAAGCTACCAGCGGAAGGGAAGAGATAACCACTATTGCCGCCGAAATAAACTCAAAAGAACTAGAAATCCTAGCTAAGAGGCCCAGCATCCTAGCACCACCAAAAGAAGCCGACATCAAGCAAATCGACCTGGGCACCGGTGACCCCTCCAAAGTGGCCACCATCAGCGCCCACCTCTCGGCGAAATAGGAACTCATGCTCACCAACTTTCTTTGGGACAACAAAGATATCTTCGCTTGGAAGCCGGCC